AGATGCCATTAGATAAAAACGTACACCTGATCAAAAATCGTGGAGAGTGTATTTCTCAAGTAGAATACGCTAGGATTATTGGCAGTTAATGTATCTAATGAGTTGTACCAGGCCTGATATTGCCTTTGTGGTTAGTAAGCTAAGTAGATATACTAGCAACCCCGGTGATGAACACTGGAAGGCAATAGTAAGAGTTTTGAGGTATTTACGAAAAACCCAAAACCTTGGACTGCACTACGGAAGATATCCAGCTGTACTTGAAGGGTATAGCGACGCTAGTTGGATATCTGACATCAAGGACTCAAAGTCCACAAGTGGATATATTTTCACTTTGGGTGGTGCAGCTGTGTCGTGGAAATCCTCGAAACAAACATTGATAGCTAGATCCACGATGGAATCTGAGCTAATAGCCTTGGATAAGTGCACTGAAGAGGCTGAATGGCTACGCCATTTTCTCGAGGATATTCCAAGTTGGGAGAAGCCTGTCCCTCCAATATGCATACATTGCGATTGTCAAGCGGCAATTGGAAGGGCACAGAGCAATCTCTATAATGGTAAGTCTAGACACGTCCGTCGCAGACATAATACCATTAAACAACTTCTCACAACGGGTGTTATCACTGTTGACTACGTGAAGTCAAAGGATAACATAGCGGATCCGCTAACCAAGGCATTGGATAGAGAATTGTTGGAGAAGTTGACACGAGGAATGGGATTAAAGCCCGTGAATTGAAAAGTTCTATAGTGGATACCCAACCTAGTTGGTCCTAGGTTCAAATGGGACAACTAAATTATAGAGCGAAGGATGGTCACTGTGGGGGTCCCGGACTCCTACCCACTCCTCGTTGAAACAGTGACTCCCGCACGAGGTTAGCAAAAACGTTTGCTTTAATGATTCTAAAATGTTGATCTACTCGATAACATTGGAAGAGTATGCGGGATACTCGTGAAAGCATTACCTATGTGAGAGAGAAGAGGGCCGCTTCAAAGGAGAACTGTAATGGCTCAGTTCTTTAGAAACTCTTGCAGAACCAGGACGGTGACCCATGGCCAAAACGGGCACACCCATGAGAACGGAACAAAGTTGGAAGGTTCTTGTGTAAAGATAAGTCAATGTTTTACACGACAGCGGTAGAGTTCAAAGACATCGAGTCTACTAGACAGCCAGTAAATAAACGTGTCTTTACGGCGGAAGGTTCAAAGGATTAAACCTACCTCTCCGTATACAAGGATCATCCGGTGAACACAACGTGTCCTCCTATCTTCGTGTCTTTTTAAGTCTCGAAAATCAATTTTCATTCATGTGGGGGATTGTTGGAAAAATGTGCGAAAAATTGCATTAAATGGCTATTTTGGGGCAATTTTTGAGTGGGGTCCACTTCAGATTTGGGACGGGTCAAAGTGGTTTCGGATTGTCCTTGTTAAGGGCTACAATTCGATATATGGTACGCTCAAAACGGATAACGGGTGAATGAGAAATCGCTTTTCGAAGTTTACCCGTTAGAAGGGAAAAAGGATGGGTTTCTAGTGTGTTAATTTCCCACACCGGAAAACCCAAGGGATTTGCTACCCTTTATAAAGGGACTCCCCCCTTATGGAGTTAAGATTCTTAAGGGTAAAGGCTCTCTCCACGCGCGCAGGGGGGGTGCAAATCAAATCCCGAATTCGGAGAAGAAAAACCGCGACTTGCGTGCGCGGGCGACCTGCGGACACGAATGTCGTCCAAAAATCTATCTCTCAAGAGATACGATTAATTTTTGTTTTCTTCCCGAAACGTTTAATTTTTTCCCAGCGGCAGAAGCCTACGGTGTTCTGATGGCAGAACCCCTCATGGGGTATTCTGATGGCCGCCCATCAGAGATGGGGTACTCTGATGGCCGCGGATCAGAGTTGGGGTCTTCTGATTGGCCTCCGATCAGAACCCCTCCCAGGGTGTTCTGATGGAGGTCTTCTGTCGCGCTTCTGAAACGTTACAACAATTAATGCCCAACATTTATGTCTTTTAATGCAGCGTTAAATGGACAGTTCATGGACGATTCAATGCCCAACGGACTGGTCATTGATGTCCAACGTTCAGGTCCATTAATTCACTATTTTCACACAACAAATCCTCCTATATAATGGCTGGCAAGTGGTTTGCAACAACACACGTTCTTACACGATTTTACACGAATCCATACACGTTTTAGCTCTAAAAACACACTGCTAGCATTCCGAAAATTTCCCCTGTGTTCATACTGTGTTCTCGTTCGCTGGAACTTTTGTTTGTGTGCTCTAACATTAGTTCGTAGTCATCGTATCCTGGGAACGATTGTTGCAACGCTCCTAGCACCGTGGGAGGCAACAAATACGTTTTAAGGACATCGTGCGTAGCACGAGCTTTGACTAAATCTGCTTCATCTCCTTTCTTGTTTTTCTCTAGTCATTTTATTTAATTAATTTTCTTTACTTTCCGAAACACACCCAACACCATTCACTTCCAAAGCAAGTTGGGAGCATTTCTTCATTGGGGAGCACAATCAAAGCAATAAGAGAGTCAAACGATACTTATGTTTTTACTTGAACTGCTTTCAAATCCAGACCGGACTTGGACAATTATACAATACACAGAGACCATACATTTATCAGATCAGATCAGACCGGAAAATCAAGTCCAAATAAAAACATTCTTATACATACTTTGTATACACTTTTTGTACACATTGGGTCGATTCGGGTCACTACTCACACAGTCACACTTAATGACTACATCACAATTGTTGTCTCTGAAATTAGGTTATAGGTTATAGATAACTTGTCTATCTTGGAAATATATTCAAAAAATATATAATTTTTTAATAAAACTATTTTTATAGGTAGACATCATTTGTATGATTGTATCTACTCATAAAAAGAACGGTTTCAATGTATGAAAAGATTTAGTTGTGTGTGACAAAATACTTCTTATTTGTGGTATTGAATATTTGGAAGTGTACTAACAGTGTTCAAACTGTGTATGTCAAACATTATCGATAAGAGAGTGACATGTAATTAATCTATACAACCTATGACTCATATATGAGCACGACCAGGGGCGGAGCTATGCCCAGGGGTAGGGGGGCCATTGCCCCTCCCAACATTTTAAGTTTTTTATATTAGTATTATTTATTAGTAAAACTTTTGTACTAGCAACTAGCAAGCGATCAACGTTTGAGTATCACGTCAACACCTAATTTGGACTATTTTTTTTATGAACACCTAATTTGGACTATAAAGAGTTCAATGAGTGTGTAAAATGTTATAAAATATTTCATTAAATTTTATCTTGTATAAATATTTTGACCCTCAAGTTTTGCTAATTTTGGTATGGTAGCAAAAACACTTTAATTATCTCCCAATTTCTTTATAGTTAATAAGAAAATCTGCATTATCCCGTTGTGCCCATGCTAATTTAGAGGCGTATATATTTAATTATTTTGTCACAAAAATATACTACGTACGGAGTATTACATAGTATTAGATGTGATTGCGTCAACGAAGTGTAAACCTAAATAAATTCAGGGGCAGACATTATCGAAACTTTAAGGTAAATAACACACCAATACTTCGCCCCCCTTTCGTCACATCCTGGCTCCGCCCCTGAGCACGACAATGACACAGATTTCAATGTTTTATATTATGGCATGTTTTTCTATCATGGTTGAGAGACACAAAATATAAACTATAAGCAATATGAGTAATATGCACATATTTATAATATTTAAATTAAAATAGCTTTCCCTTTAATATGAATAAAAAAGAATACTTCCTCCCTTCCCTAGTAATTCTTATTTTAGTGCATTGAATAATTTAATTAATTAAAATATTATCACATCAAGTTTTCAATCTTATTAACTTTGAAGTATCACATGGACAAATGGATGAAATATCTCTTGATACACATTTCTTATATTTTGTTAATGCACATAAATACTTCACTCAAAAAGTTATCCATGTCATTGAAATTTTGGACAAATTGTATCTAAAAACACGTCAAAGTCTATCTCTAAAGAGTAGGCCCTTAAAACTTTGTCATCTTTCCTTTTTGGGACGTCCTAAAAAACTTTGCTACTTTCCCTTTTGATCAATTATTTTGTGGTTTCTATTATTCCTCTCTCCTCTGCACAAACCTTAATCACACAGTTTTTACTTTATTATTTTCTGTGCCGGTCAACTTTAGCAAAGTTTTAAGGGACAGAGGTAGTACGTGATAGGGATTTGGGTTCTCTGCCTGACTTTGACAACCAGGTAGGATGTGTGGCTTTTTTTTTCTTTTTTCTTTTTTACAGGTAGGATGTGTGGCTATTACAATCACACGATTCACTCTCCATCTTCCCACAACTCTCTCCTCCCATGTTGCTTGTCGTTGGATTGCTTCATGGCACCTCTGCCGTGCAGATCCAAATGCACTTGATAGTGCGCAAAATGTACTTCCTCCGTCCCCTTTTAAATGTCTCGTTTTACTATATTGGGATGTCCATATTTAATTGTCTGATATCTTATTTGGTAAAGTTTGTGTGACTCAAAATTATTCTTACTTTATCAATTAATATCAAACACACAAACCCACTTTTCTTAAAACTCGTGTCACCCTCTTCCGGGACATTTAAAAGGGGTCGGAGGGAGTACTATGGTACAATTTGTATACAATTGCGGATTTTTAAAAAAGTATTGCCAGCATACAATATGCACATGCGATTATGGGTGCGTATGTAAAAAAAATAACCATGTCTCATTTTATGCGTCTCCTTTGATTTTGATATAATTTTTAATAAAGTGATTGAAAAGGTAAAAGTTGTGATTGAGATTTGAGTATAGAAAAAGTGAAATGTTGTGAACCACATGTTTATTTTCAAAAAGAGAAATGTGACACTCATTTTGAGACAAATCAAAAAGGAAAGTAAAACATGTAAAATGTGACGAAAAAGATTTTTGTGTGAGCTTTTTACTGCCGAGTGGATAATTGCACCTAAACGCTGCGCATTTTAGCAAGAAACCTAGTCGGCCGTTTAACCGTTCTTAACCAGCAATCTCGCTGCGCCGTTTCTTCCCGCGGGCTGCAAAAAGCCGTTAGTATCAATTTTCTTTCTCACATAGATATCTCAATACTTGGGTAAGAAATCTCGCACTTGATCTACAATGGTTTCTGGCAGATGGATAGAAACAGGAGCGGATCTGTGGAAGGACAAGGCTAATTCACTGCAGTTTCGGCTGCGGAACCGTTTCAGGGTCGCCGTCGATCACCACCGACGCCGCCCGAAGCTCTCAGAAGGGTACTTCGTGTCCACCATAGAGCGATTAGTCAAGCGGTTCAGCGATTTCCGTCAGGATTCTCTGCCTTCGTCCACCATTTTCTACCGCAAAAGAGGTCTCCTACCAGTTACCCGTAGACTTTTTCTTCCCAAAACGTGCAAACTTGTTCATTTTAAGTGGACCTGCGATGACGATAAATTTGATATTTACATGATAGATGTCAAAATTTACTCGAAACTAGTGGTATTGAATCTCAAAAACCAAATTTGCATATTGTACAAAATTGATACTCAAAATCAAAGAACAAAACAAAACTTTGTTGACCTAGAAACGTAATATACTAAATCTTTTTCCACTGAGGGGGTCATTAGGGGATGCCTAGATAGGGTTAAAATATCCCAAGTCGGTTCCAACTTATGTCTTCAAATATAGAGCAATGTTTGAATCATTGCACTCAACTTTCAGCTCAGGAACCCAATTTTGGATTTGGAGCCACCTTAGAAATGGCCTTGGTCGACTTGTGGTTCTATAAATGGCAATTCTGTTTGTGATGTTCCTATTGGTTTGCACACTATTTTTTTAGCACCGCCTTGCTAAAACTAATGTTTTCAAAGCATGTTCTTCCCGTTCTCTATGAAATTAAGGAAGGTGATGCCCTATGGTGTTGTGGTAGGTTAGCTAGTACTGCATTTTTGGTATGGGTTTGGATAGATATGTCATCTTCTTTTTCAATGATAGTTGATGATCAAATGTGCAATGTCAAACAGTGAGGGACTAGATTAAGTTGTTCTTCATAGCAGGGGAACTAAAAGTGGTATTTCCCCCAATACAATAAATAAGTTACTTGGTAAATTTGGTAACTGTTGAGTACAACATATCTGTTGCACACACTTCAGCACACCTAAATCAGCAACCTATCACCTTACATTGGTTATCGATTAAGCATGATGTTGTAGTCCTCGAAAAGACATTCCAGAAATGTAAGTCAACTTCAGTTGCTCAACAGATAAGATGTTTCGGATGATATTAGTGCTTAATAACGCTTATATCTTACAGTCTTAATAACGCTTTTTAACAGTCTTCATATCTTTTAAACCACTCTTAACCTTCTTAACGTTAACACCTAATTTTTGCCATTTATAAGCTAGCTCTATTTCTTTTCTGTGTAGTTTTAATGCATTATATACTTTGTCTTTGTATTTCACCATATATCCTCTCCATCCTTTCTATTGTCAAACATACCACATTGGATCATATGGGTGCAGTTAGCAAGGACATTGATCCAGAAGCAGATTCAGTACTGGCACGCATGCTTCAGGCTGTTGCTGTTCCTCTTCTTGGAAATGTGTGCCATGTATTTATGCATGGACTTAATCAAGTGCAGGTAACTTGATGTTATGTGTTTTTCAATATATGCTCAAGAAACTACTTGTTAACGAGATAATAAGTTAGCTACCATTACAGATATATGGTGTAGAAAAACTACATAAAGCTGTGCTCAACCGGCCAGGAGACAAGCCTTTAATTACGGTAAATGTTGTCATTTAACAATTATAGAGATCTAATTTTCGTGCTGTGGAACTTTTCTTTCTATTCTCATTCCAAAGTATTCTTTATGATGATTCAAACTGTGGTTTGATGCTTTGATCTAATTTTAGGTCAGCAATCATGTTGCTTCTATGGATGATCCACTAGTCATTGCTGCATTGCTTCCCCGAAGTGTTATTTTCAATGCACAAACTTTGAGATGGACACTATGTGCAACTGATCGGTGTTTCCGAAATCCAGCAACATCGGCATTCTTCAAATCTGTTAAAGTCTTGCCAGTTTCCCGTGGTGATGGAATTTATCAAAAGGTACTTTTAGACTTTAGGTGCTCATAAGACTGCAGAGGATGTTAAACATGCTCTTTTGTAAGTGCGAAGTGACTATATGTATTAGTATGTGGCCTATACTAATAAAGAGGTAACTGTGAATGTGTGTGTGTGTGTATAATCTAGTCTCATCTGGTGCATATATTCAGTCTAAGCAACCTCCTGGGCTGATTTTAGACTAATGCTCATGCTATTATAAGTCGATTTTACACGAATTGAAAAAGCCAATTCATGGATATATGCTAAATTGCAAACAAATCCGCATGGTTTTGTTCTTTTTTTCAGTAAATCACTCTATATTCAAGAGCTATCAAGGTTCTCTTAGATTTGCAGCTGCAAAGATAACTTCAAATCTTATCACCAACCCTATTGGCTATTCCATTGATTGGCTGCTATACAGGGTATGGACATGGCTATCTCAAAACTCAACTGTGGTGGATGGGTTCACATATTCCCTGAAGGTAGTCGTTCTCGAGACGGTGGGAAAACCATGGGCTCTGCAAAAAGAGGCATTGGAAGGTAATGCTTCATAGGACGAAATGGCAATTAATTAGCCGATGCTGAATGCATGCTTAGCTAGAAAACCTTACATTTTCTTCCATTGTGGAATATGATTCATCAAAAGTGGGAAAGTGTAGAAGTTAACATGATCATGAGAAGAATGACTAAAATGATTCTATCTTCTTTAAACAATGAACAATATACCCCACATCTTCTTTACTTTTATAGGTTGGTCCTAGATGCTGACCGTGTACCAATAGTTGTCCCATTTGTGCATACTGGGATGCAAGAGATAATGCCCATAGGAGCCAAGTTTCCCAGGATTGGAAAGTCGGTATGCCTCTCTCTCTCTCTCTTTGCCCATGTATATAGTAGCTTAAATCTTGTAAAGATAGTTAAGTACTACTCCATCTGTCCTGAGGAAAGACGTTCATATGAGGAAGGTACAACTCCTCATTTTTCTAGTCAACTAAATCAAGGTACACGTTTTTATAAACCAAAAACTTATTTCCACTTACCATTTCGATTTCCATGAAATTTACTTTATAATGAAATTTGACTTTACAAATTGGAGTCTTTTGTGGGACAAAAGTTCTTAAAACAACACTTTATTTTTTTGGAACAGGAGGGAGTATAACTGGTTCACACTTCATTTCATCGACATTGAAAAATGTTTGTACTTTTTAGGGGTGGAAAAATGGAATAAAGAATTGTTGGTGTATGTATCGTGTTTTGTTTGATGGAATTTTCCTTGTAATTCTTAGTCTTGCAAACTTGATAGGTGACTATACTTGTTGGTGATCCTATTGTTTTTGATGACCTTCTTGCTGCGGAGGGAAATCACAACATATCAAGAGGAAATCTCTATGATGCTGTTTCTGCTAGAATTGGTGATCGTTTACAGAAGCTAAAAACACAAGTTGACAGATTAGCAGCTAAACAATCACTTGATCAAGAGAGTTGCTTAGTGGAAGCTGATTTGGAGGATAGAATCGGTGGTGCAGAAGATGATAGAAACAAGGACTCGTATTTTAGAATGGGCTTCTCTGGTTATTATGGCGGTTTCAGATCAAGAGTCAAGAATTACATGGATTCAACTGACCTAACACTCTTCTCAGCTAGAGGTTTGTTTGTGAGGAAGCACGGTGCAAACACAAAGACCATTCAAGATATTGGTCCACTGCGGCCATGGCATAACTTCTTGAGATCCAACTGCGGATTAAACTATTCTGCCTAAAGAGGATGTAGGCATTGCTCATTGCTTTATTAGTATAAATATAGATAGAACGATTTTTATTTTGCTTTTTTTATTTTGTTTTTTCCACGTTTCGGTTCGTTTACTAGTGAAAGTTAATAGCTTCTAGTTATCATGTAGTACACGATTGCAAACCGAAATCCAAATGAGAACTATCCATGGGATAATGGGACAGTTCGGGCTAATCCAACTGATCAATCTATTATTATTGATCTCTTAATTTCTACAGTTTCCAATGAGGCTCTCCAAACTCATTAATGAGCTCTAGGTTTGGAATGTGTAGGGAGAAAAAATGATTGAATCCCTTTGCAAAGCATATATTCTTCATTTTATAGTAGTAGCTTAGGGAAACTAAGTGGACTCGGCTTTTGCGTTAGGGTGCCATAGCCCATACGGCTAGGAGTAGTTATCCCATCGATAGTGTACTCTTTGTAGGGGATGAAGTAATGGAGTATAAAAGCTCTCACAAAAACAGAATTTAGGAGTGCCAATGAAGGCATTAAAGCATTAGTACTACATCTGTCCAAAAGTCTCAGTATATGTTGTCATACAATATTCCTCTGGCCAATTTGATTCTCCTTTAGTTTTGATTTTATATAATAATAAGGAAATTTCTACGGTACCTCCTAAAATTTACTAGGTACCGGTGCCCATGACTTTTTAAGCCAATCAAATTATTATATGATGACACGTCAATATCCTCGTCATACTGGCCAATATTCCGAAGTTTTATATGGTGTGTGCAATTTAGCCTGTAATTCTTCTTGCCGCTGGTCTTCTCACATACGAAGTACGCAGTACTTTATATCATGGTAGAACAATAATGCGGTTGAGAAAGATGGAATTTCGAAGTCATTAGAAGCCATCGCTGCCGGAGATTCCCTGAGAGTCAAACGACAAGCAGTCAGAGGAGGCAATGCTCTGCATCAGCATCGAAATGATCTCTGTCTTCATCCTGGGCAATTCACTCTCCTATGCCTTATTCTCAACTAGGGGCGGGCAAAAATACCGAACCGGCATGGTACCGAACCGAACCGATATGGTACCGGACCGAAAAATGGGGTTTGAAACGGATCTCAATTTTTTTGTCCCGAACCGAACCGTACTGATTCTAAACAATGCCATGACCGGTTCTCATAAAATGAGAACCGGTACCGGACCGAACCGGACCGAAGTATGATTCAATGATTTAAATTTACATTCATACCCTTACTTTGACTATTGTCTTCACACTGTCACCGTCTTTGCTAATTCATAGGAAGTCTGGAATCGGACCGATGTATGGTTTAATTATTTATATTTGTACTACTATAATTTATCTGAAATTTATTAATTATGTAAAATACTACATTCATCCCAAATTGATTTGCAAAATTAATTTTTCTTGGTCAAACAGTTTCATTTTATTCACTTAACTAGAATGTCACTTTTTAATTATATTTAATTTGGAGCTTGCAACCTTGAAGAGATTTCAATGTAGATTCTGAATATGTTTATTTTAATTATTAAAAAATAAATCAATTATCAATAAAGAGAATTTAACTTTAACATGGTTGACAAAAAAATTATTGACTTTGCATGTCAATTTGGGATAAAATGAGTATGAAAATTGATAAATTGTGTCGATTTTTGGAGGATGAATAACCTTTAATTTCCTCTTAAGCACATGAAAAAAGTGGCATTGTTTGGTATTGGTATAGCATGGTACCGTCCCGTTTCAAAATGAAACCGTACCGAACGGGTTTAGGTCTAAGACCGAACCGAACCGAACCGAACCGAACCGTTTGAATAGTAACGGTACGGGTACGGGTTCGGCCAAATATTGGACCGGACCGGACTGCGCCCACCCCTATTCTCAACACCATCGTTAGTCAAGATGACGTGATTGACATCATATCATATGGCTGGAATTCTACCAATCAGTATATCCATCACCAATGCTTCTCGTATATTATCTGTCGATAGTGGAGAGAGTACTGGTATCCAATATTCAAAGTATGACTTGGACGATTGTCCCAAGGCATACAAGGAGGAGGGGATGCCATAGAAATGGAGAATGAAAGGTCAAAGAAGAAGATATGTACCAACTATGCGATGGATTAAATGGAAAATATAAGAAATTAGAAATAGTCTGATGTGTCAATGTGATTTAATCTCAACCGTTATAAAATGGAGGTACCAAAACCCAGAAATATGCGAGTGCACAGTAGACAAACCCTAATAATAATTTGGCTAAAAGGTCATATAGGTTCCTTTACCGATCGTGTAAGCTCAATTCAGTCTCTGAGATAAAAAAAATTCAATTCACACTCCGAACTGACAGAAAAGATTCAAATTTCATTTTTTACGGGTAAACAACCGGTCATTTTTTAATTTTTTATTGTTTCTGTATCTTATTTTCGATTTATTGCAAATTGGACCTTTTTTACCGGTTGTCAACCTTAAAAAATGAAATTTGAACCTTTTTTTGCCGGTCCGGGGTGTGAATTGAACCTTTTTTAGTTCAGGGACTGAATTGAGCTTACACGATCGGTACAGGGGCCTATTTGACCCTTTAGCCTAATAATTTTATACCAAGTATCAATATCATGTTGAAATATAGTATCCAAATATAATACTCCCTCTGTCCCTTATAACTTTGTCATCTTTCCTTTTTTGGATGTTCCAAAAACTTTGCCACTTTCTCTTTTCATCAATGGATTTGTGGTTCATGTTATTTCTCTCTTCTATGCACATATCTCAACCACACAGTTTTTACTTTATTATTTCTCGTGCCGGTCAAACATGGCAAAGTATTGAGGGATAGAGGGAGTATTAGATAAAAGCACCACTTGATGATTATTAGTATCCAAATACCGAGTATAATATTAGATAGATTGTGCACGGTATGAGAAGATTTGAACAGTAGGGTTTGTGGTGAATGAATGTCTTTCGAGAGTCCCAGGTTACATGATCTTAGGGTCTATATGGAAAATCTGGGCCTAGATCAGTAACATGGACCTGATAGGCCCGGTTACATAAAAGGGCGATAATACCCTAAGAATAATAATAATGTACAATAAAATAATGCAAATATTATCTATTAGTGTATTCAGACTGTTGTCCAAACTCAATAGTGTGTAGATCGCGTGTCCAACACAATATACTCTATTATATAGTTTTGGTATGAAAATTTTAATTAATAATAATAATTTAATTATCATTGAGAAAGATGTAACACTGTCATTAACAAGCATACATAGATCGAATCTGAATTTTGATACAAGAGAGTATCCGGATTTAATGTTCCCTTTAAATTTAGTTTTTCAACAATGAGTCAATGAAGCTCAATACGGGTGTACCTAGGGCTGGCAATATCATCCGCACCCGCGGATATTCGGTGAACTCGAACCGAAAATATGGATGAAAATCCGAAAATGAATGAATGAAAAATGGATGACGGGTGCATTGAAACTTGAAAGACGGGTAGGATCGGGTGTGGATGAACACTCAACCAATCCATCACCCGACCCATCACCTGCTCCACCCACCCACCCGCTACCCACAGATAATATATATATATATATATATATATATATATATATATATATATATATATATATATATATATATATATTACATTACATTACATTACATTACATTACATTACATTACATTACATTAGATTACATTACATTAGATTACATTATATTACATTACATTATATTACATTATATTACATTATATTACAATATTATTATATTATATTATATTATATTATATTATATTATATTATATTATATTATATTATATTATATTATATTATATTATATTATATTATATTATATTATATTATATTATATTATATTATATTATATTATATTATATTATATTATATTATATTATATTATATTATATTATATTATATTATATTATATTATATTATATTATATTATATTATATTATATTATATTATATTATATATAAAATCTATTTAATAATATATATAATAATTAATAATATACTAGTGTATAATAATTACTACTAATATTAATATATTGTGGAGTAATAAATACTCTGTATGTATTTGTTAATGAAGAAGACACATATCTATGAATTGGTGAAATAAAGACAATTGAAGAGTTTCAAGAAGTGACAGTTGAATTGCAAAAATATTTTTGAGCCGAAGAAGAAATGTAGAATTTGACAGTTTGAAAAAGTTTTATGTCTATTTTGTTTGACAATATCTTCTTTCTTTATTGACAGTGATTTAATGATTATAATATACTTAATTGCTCAAGTTTTTGTTGTTATTATTCAATGAAATTTAAAATTTTGGTTTTTAATTATTATAATTTCTATTTATAATTTATTTATTTTGTCTTTCAAGTTAAACCATTTATATTTACCCGTTACTCACCCGATTCACCCGATATCCCGATCATGATGGATGAGTTGAATGTGGATGTAATTTTTAATGGATGATGGACGGGTGGGTGGAATATGAAAAATTAACGGGTGGACGTGAATGAGCCTCCACCCGGTGTAAATCCGACCCGTTGACACCCCTTAGGTGTACCAACATAGGCCATATGTTTGTGTATTCACATCCCGATTTTTATGTTTTTATCGTCAAACAAACAAATATATTAAATCAACAAAACATTCGTCACATGGCTGATAACACAATCAATGAAAAAGCTAGAAACAAAATGATAAAAATCCTTTTGTCTGCCGTCCATCCTTGAACCAAACTTAGAAACTAAGAAACAATAACATTTGTTGATCCTGTAATGAGTTTAACAGAGCCAATGACAGGCAAATCAGACTTCTCATCACCTGAATGAAATTCTAGAACCTCTCTGTTAGGAAATAAGAACATGTCCAAAACAACATGCAAATTTGAAAAAAAAAATCACAAATGGAATAAAGCGGAATTAAAATAGAATTCACTCATCTTCTTCCAAACCCTAGACTCGCTTGCACTCCATGGCGGCTCGGGAGGGGGACACGCCCGTCTCTCATCCACCTCAATAGCCATGCTTTTGTATTGATTGACGATATCCTCCATTGATATCCCTTGCTGACGATATCCAAAATGTTGCATCCCTGGTCCCGAGCCTGCTTGCACGACCGAAATCGACCGACTGCCACTCTTCGCCGATGACGAAAGTGGAAGAACGAAACCCTAAATCATAGGAAGATGACTGCTGAAACCTGATTTTCATTAAAAACCATACATTGTTATTTCTATCAACATTATTAATTAA